CCAGTGGCACAGCCTCCCTCATCACCCCAGCTGAGCCCTCAAGTTACACTCCTATGGTGGACTGTACACCCTTCTGTTATAATTGAGTCTTGATTGCTGTTGGCATGTCAATGGGAGGGATTTACTCAGGCTGATCAGCTGCAAGGACTGGCTGTGCCCACTGACCACTGGCCTCTGACTACCTTGGAGGATCAGTGGTGTAGGGGCCCAACACACAGAGCAAGACTTACTTCAGCAGGGCTCTGGTACACACTGAGTCCTCTCATTGAGAGTGTCACTTGTGGAGGTGGTTGAGTGGTGGTGCTTTGATGTGGTCTGAAGCTGTCCACTGAGTGTGCTGGCTCTGGGGCAAGGTCAGCTTCTGCCTGTGTTCTACCCGAGACCACCCAGCATAAGCTACAGAATAATCTGCAGACGGCTGCTTCTTGTGCTGGGCTTGGAGGTGCCCAGAAAAAGCCAAGTTGTGAACCACGGCTCGCTGCTTCTAGTTCCAGGTCTGGGGCCACTTAGAGGTATGGGGCTTGTTGAGACCAGATGATGCTTATTTGAGAGATTTTAAGAAAATCTGAAGCAGGATCCAAGACAGGCAAGTCTTGTGGTAGAGCCACTGGGAACAGCTTAGGGGGCCTAAAAGTTGGGTGGGGCAGGGCCTCAGGGAATCACCAGGGCGGGGCAAACAATGTGAACCTGGTTCTGGAGTCCCAGATACAGCTCCAGTCTGCTGCGCTAGGAAAGGGCTCACCAAAGGAACAGGGCCTCCAGCAGCAAGTCTGTCCAGGGGAAAGCTCCCTCTCCAGCTCTCGCCCCAATGCCAAACAACTCAGTTCTTCTTCTATGTCTCTGGTGCCTTTCAAGCTCCCTCCCCAAAGCTGGAGCTCAGAAGGAGTGAGTCCAAGTAAGTCTGTGCTTGAGCCCTTTAAGTGGAATTGCCTGGGACTCGAGAAGTCTCAGCCTCCCTCAGCCTCAGTTCCCACTGGGTTTAGAGCCAGAAGTGATGGGGACTTCTCTTCCTGGCACTGGAACCCTGAGCTGGGAGCCTGGTGTGGAACAGGGACCCCTCACTCCTCAGGGAGGACCTTCACAGCCAAGGTATCCCTCCTCATTTTTATCTGCCACACATGAGTGTGGGACCAGCCCATCTACACCTCCACCCTCCCTACTAGTCTCAATGTGGCTTCTTTAATTTCGTAGTTGTAGGACTTTCATTCAGCTCCATGTCAAGCGATTCTGAATGATGGTCGTTCTGTAGTTTAGTTGTAATTTTGATGTCCATTTTCCTATTTTTAAAATGAGTAATACATGAACATTGTAAAACATTTAAACAAAAAAGACGTGTATAAAATAAAATGTGAAAGCCCTTTCTTCTTTTTATTTTATTAATTCATTTATTTTTGTTACAGATGTCCCCCCCCCCAATGGACAGCCTCCTCCTGACCCCCCCCCCAGAGCATTGTTGTCTATGTTCATTGGTTATGCATATATGCATATAAATTCTTTGGTTTATCTCTTCCCTCCCCACTCTCCCACCCCCCTCCTCTGAGGTTTGTCAGTCTGAACTCTATTTATTTGTATGTTTCTGGGTCTATTTTTTTCATCAGCTTATTCTGTTCATTATATTCCACAAATAAGTGAGATCATGTGGTATTTGCCTTTCTCTGATTGGCTTATTTTGCTTAGCATAATACTCTCCAGATCCCTCCATGTCGTCTCAAAGGATAAGAGATCTTTAGTTCTTATAGCTGCATAGTATTCCATTGTGTATATGTACCACAGCTTTTTTATCCACTTATCTATTGATGGACACAGGGCTGTTTCCAGATCTTAGCAATTGTAAATAGTGCTGCTATGAACATAGGGGTACATATATTCTTTCTGATTGGTGTTTCAGGCTTCTTAGGATATATTCCTAGAAATGGGATCACTGAGTCAAATGGCAGTTCAATTTTTAATTTTTTGAGGAAACACCATATTGTTTTCCATAGTGGCTGTACCAGTCTCCATTCCCACTAGCAGTGTACTAGAGTCCCCTTTTCTCCACACCCTTGGCAGCACTTGTTGTTTGATGATTTGTTGATGGCAGCCATTCTGGCAGGTGTAAAGTGATACCTCATAGTCATTTTTTTTTTTTTTAATCCTCACCCGAGGATATTTTTCCATTTTTTTTGTACAGATAGAGTGGGAGGGAGAGAGAGGAAGGGAGAGAGAGAGAGAAACATCGACGTGAAGGGACACATCGAGTGGCTGCCACCCGCACGACCAACCAGGGCCGGGGACAAACTGCAACCGAAGTACGTGCCCTTAGCGGAAACTGAACTCGGGTCTCTCCAGACCGCAGGCCGACGCTCTAACCGCTGAGCCAAACTGGCCAGGGCCCTCATAGTCATTTTAATTTGCATCTCTCTGATGATTAGTGACGTTGAGCATTTTTTCATGTCTCTTGGCCATTTGTATGTCCTGTTTGGAGAGGTGCCTATTTAGGTCTTCTTCCCATTTTTTTTTCTTTATGGATTTTTAGAGAGAGAGGAAGGGAAAGGGAGAGAGAGATGGAAACATCAATGAGAAAGAACATCAATTGGCTGCCTCCTGCATGCCCTCACTGGGGATTGGGCCTACATCCTGGACATGTGCTCTGACTGGGAATCGAACTGGTGACCTCTTGGTACATGGGTCGACACTCAACCACTGAGCCAAACTGGCCAGGGCCCCTTACCATTTTTAATTGGATTAGTTGTCTTTTTTTTTTTTTTGAGTACTCTATATATTATGGAAATTAGCCCCTTATCTGATGTATCGTTGGCTGTTATGCTCTCCCATGTAGTGGGTTCCCTCTCCATTTTGATGCTTGTTTCCTTTGCTGCACAGAAGCTTTTTAGTTTGATGTAGTCCATGTATTAGTTTTTTCCTTTGTTTCTGTTGCCTTAGGTGATGTATCAGTGAAAATTTTGTTGCATATGATGTCTGAAATTTTGTTAACCTGCATTTTCTTCTAGGATTTTTATGGATTCATGAATCACATTTAAGTCTTTTATCCATTTTGAGTTTATTCTTGTGTATGGTGTAAGTGGGTGGTCTAGTTGCATTTTTTTGCATGTAACTGTCCAATTTTCCCAACACCATTTATTAAAGAGGCTATCCTTACTCCATTATATGCTCTTGCCACCTTTGTCAAATATTTATTGAGCATAATGTCTTGGGTCAATTTCTGGGTTCTCTGTTCTGTTCCATTGATCTATCTGCCTGTTCTTGTGCCAGTACCAGGCTCTTTTGATTACAGTGGTTTTGTAGTATTACCTAATATCTGGTATTGTGATCCCTCCTACTTTGTTCTTCTTTTTCAAGACTGCTATGACTATTTGGGGTCATTTTTGGTTCCATATAAACTTTTGGAGTATTTGTTCTAGTTCTGTGAAATATGGCGTTGGTATTTTAATGGGGATTACATTGAATCTATAGATTGCTTTCGGTAGTATGGACATTTTAATGATATTAATTCTTTCAATCCATGAACAAGGTATATGCTTCCACTTTTACTTCTTTGGCGTTTATTCCTAGGTATCTTAATTTTTTTGCTGTAATGGTAAATGGGATTTTTTTCCGGTTTCTCTTTCTATGAGTTCATCATTGGTGTATAAGAATGCCATCAATTTCTTGATGTTAATTTTGTATTCTGCTACTTTGCCAAATTCATTTATTAAATAGAGTAGATTTTTTATGGTGTCTTTAGGGTTTTCTATGTACAATAGCATGTCATCTGCAAATAATGATAGTTTCTCTTCCTCCTTTCCAATTTAGATCCCTTTTATTTTTTCTTCGTGTCTAATTGCTGTACTATGTAAAATAAGAGTGGCAAAGGTGGAAAGTACTCCCTTCTAATCACTCTTACTAGAGGTATCAATTGCATATAATGTGAGGCTGGAAAATCTGTAAATATATTTTTTCCATTCATATTCACATATATGTGGGGTTTTTTTTAAATGGTATCATGCTACACATAAGAATGCATTTTTATTTTTATGTAATATATCTGGGCCACATCGAATATATAGGTATACTTAGATTGATTTTATTCTTTAATCTTCACCCGAGGATATCTGTACATTTATCTTCAGACAGAGTTGGGGGGGGGACATTGATGTGAGAGAGACACATTGACTGATTGCCTCCCACGACCACAACTGGGCCTGGGACCACCTGCAACAGAGACACATGCCCTTGGCCAGAATTGAACCCGGGACTCCCTGATCGGTAGGCCAACGCTCCAACCGCTGAGTGCTCCAACTACTGAGCCAGACCGGCCAGGGCTATAAGAATGCCTTTCAAGTTATAGATATTAACTATTTCATATATTGAAACACATTCTCAATTTATATTTATGTTTGAGCATTATGAGGACTTTAATCAGACAGAAACTTTGTGTATCCTTATTGCCAATCTTTTCCTATATTGTTTTTGGGTTCCCTGTCATGCTTAGAAACACATGTCCCTTCCAAAGATTATCAAATTATTCTTTCTTCCTCCATTGTTTTTTATGATTTTAGCCTTCATCTTTAACTCAACCATATTTAATTTTTGTGAAACACATTAATAGAGCTCCTGTCAAGTGTATTTTTCTCCATCTGATTTGTAAGTAAGGTGTTATTTTACCTAGCAACAGCTATCTAAAAACATACTCCTTTTTGGCATTCACATGTGCTCGGCACTATACATATAGTGTGTGATTTCATCTTCAAGCAAGTGTTTTTTTGTTGTTGTTTTGGTACGTTCCCCAACCGAACCCATGACTCTCTGGTCCGCAGGCCAACGCTCCAACCGCTGAGCCAACCGGGCAAGGCTTCAAGCGACTTTTAATCTCTCAGTTTATAAATAAAGAAACCGGGCACTACATAACGCAAGTGGCCCATACAGTGAGCATTGCAATGCCCTCCACTACAAAGGTCAACACAGATGCCACGCCCACTGTCCAAGCTCTCGCGACAGTTGTGCGTCATCCGAGAGCGCCGGTGGCCGGGGCAGTCGCGCGGCCTGCGTAGAGTGAAACTGCGGCCCGTGGTGCTGTCTCACCCGCAGAGAAGCCAGCGAATCCTGCGCCCTGTCGAACCTGCAGTCATCGGCCTCCCGCCACCATGGAGTATCTTATCGGCATACAGGGCCCTGACTATGTCCTTGTCGCCTCCGACCGAGTGGCCGCTAGCAATATTGTCCAGATGAAGGACGGTAAGAGGAGGCAGGAGAGGCCCGGCCGGGCCTAGGTGGAGGGGCATCCGGGAGGAAGTTCGCGGGGCGTTGGGTGAATACCAGGTAGGTCCGGGAGTTGGAACCCAGCCTGTCCTGATGTGCACTTGCTCATTTGTTAGCATTGGGAGACTGGCCGACAAGCTTACACGAGCTTAACACTCGCTCCTCCCAGGCCTCCCAGGTCAGTGCTCTACTGGGTCTGGTCTTCGCTAAAAGCGTTCTAGGCGAGAGTTGCCTAAAGGAATTAGTTTTTAAGTGTTTAAGCACTTGCCGAGCCCCAGGCTCACTAGACCCAGAATCTCTGACGACTTTCCTGATGTCGCTACTAATGAGGTTAGTTTGCTGCGACCATAAGGTGGGATCCTGAGACGAGTGAGACTGTGGGACCAGAAACTTGGCATTTCTCTTGGGCTGCCTGTGTCTCAGCTCAGATCCTCCTTTTCCCGTTTTCCAGGACACTGGCTATTGCGTTTTTCTTATATTTAAGTAGTTGGTAGAGTTCAGAGACTAGAGCCCTGACTTTATGACTCTGTATAAATTGTAACGCAGTGCCCTGATTTCATCGTCTGTTAAATCGGGGAGCATTTGAGATCTTGCTTCCCGGCAATTGTTAGTTTCGCCGACATAAGCTGATAAAAGTTCTCCAAAAAAAAAAAAAAAAAAATCTGTTAAATGACAAACTTGTTGGGAGACTTGAGTGAAAAAGTTTTGTGCAAATGCTTAGCACAGTGACAAATACTTAGTAATAACAATAAGTACTTATATATCAAGTGCTGTTTTAAGCGATTTTCATTAATTCCATTTAACCTTTTGAGATAAGCCCTATTATATCATCACTTTATAGATGTTAGTTTTGAGGCAGAGAGGTTCAAAAATTTGACTAAGACCACTAGTGGCAGAACCCAGGTTCGAACCTATGCAGTTTGACTCCAAATCTTTTGTACATAACTGTTATACATACCGTTTCCCCATAGTCTGTACTCAATAAATAATTAAAGATTTTTGGTTGATGATCTGAGAAATCTAAGAGTGTGTATTCATGATTGACCATAGACATGCTTTGGCTCAGGTGATTTATTATTGACAAATAGATGTTGGGCATTCTATGTGCCCTTTCCAGTGCTAGGTACTAAAGGGATGCAAAGAAGATATATGTGGCCTTTAAAAGAAGTTATAGTTTAACAAGGGACTCAGATATGTGTACAAATAATTATAGCACAAGCTAGAAAAGTATGCTGCATAAGAAAAGTACAAATTTCTGAAGTAGTACAGAGATAGAAGAGATTGTTTTTAGGTAATCCAGAGGAAGAAGAGATTCTTTCCAGTTGTAGAGATTAGGGAAAGCTTTGAGGGCAGATAATAGTTCATCTTGGGTTAATGAAAGAAAGATTAGTAAATCTGGGGTTTTCTGTGGTATGTGAATAAAGGGAAAAAAGTGTCCTCCACTGCTTTTTTAAGTGACAGGCATCTGATTGTCAGGTTGTCATTACTTGGGGAGATGGAAAGAACTCTGAGGCACTCTGCTTGATTTTTGTTCTTTCTGCAGAATGAGAGACCTGAAAGTGGTTTGTTAAACATCTCTGGTACGGATTGTTCCTCAAGTCAAACTACTATATGAAGTTGCATAATTAGTTTGTAGATGTTCTATTTGTAAACCATGCTTCCCAAAGGAGTAAATTTGTTTTGAGAGTAAATCTGTCCATTATTTTGACTACTAAAACCTTTGACGTGCAAGTGATTTCAGCATAAAGTAGTGTCTAAGTAGAGCAATGACTAAGCCAGTACCTTAACAGGTTTCTTTTTCATCACAATGTATGTTAAATCACTTTGAAAAGTATAATGTGTCTACGACCATACCACCCTGAACATGCCCGATCTCGTCTGATCATGGAAGGTAAGCAGGGTCAGGCCTGGTTAGTACTTGGATGGGAGAAAAGTAGAATGTGCTTTGATCCAAGTTATATACACAGTGTTTCTAGGTGTTATAGGGGATGCAATGTGTTAGATACAATCCATAGAGTCGTCTAAGATGTGAAGAAAACAAGGACAGCCCTGGCCGGTTTGGCTCAGCAGTTAGAGCATCGGCCTGCGGTCCGGAGAGACCCGGGTTCGGTTCCTGCTAAGGGCATGTACCTTGGTTGCAGTTTGTCCCCGGCCCTGGTTGGTCGTGCGGGTGGCAGCCACTCGATGTGTCCCTTTCACGTCGATGTTTCTCTCTCTCTCTCTTCCTCTCTCTCCCTCCCACTCTATCTGTGCAAAAAATGGGAAAAAATGTCCTCGGGTGAGGATTAAAAAAAAAAAGAAAACAAGGACATAGCCCAGGCTGGTGTGGCTCAATTGGTTGAGCATCATCCCATGCACCGAGAGGTCCATTTGTTTCATGTATGTGGATCTTACAAGTTCTTTAAGGATCAGAAATTCCCTGGAACTGCATAGGCTGTTTCCTGCACAACTCAGGGAGCTGTTAGCATCTGTCACTTTTGTTTTTATATCCTCCTTCACTACTCACTGGCCATGCAATAGATGTTTAAAAAACACTTTTGGCCTTGTATTAAGTTCAATTCAGAGTTGAACAGCTTTAGCATTTCAGCCTAGAATTTTAGCATTTCTTCTAAATGTAACATAAATGCTTTGTAAACAAGCTTCCTCCCCAAAAATAAGAACAGCTTTTTTTTCTTATTATGAAAATATGCAAACTTATTAAGTAATATTTTCTTACTAAAATGACGCATGTTAAGTATAGACATTTTAGGAAATAAGCTGATGAGCAAGAAGAAGGAAATAAAAATTGCCCATACTTTGCAACTGGCAAGAACTTAGATGCCAGTGGCATCTAATACTTCTGGTCCTTTTCTTGGGGTAGATAATACAGCTGTAAGTCGTTTTTTTTGTTGTTTTTTTTTTTTTGTACGTGCCCCTAGCGGGAACCAAACCTGGGCCTCTCTGGTCTGTAGGCTGAGGCTCCAAACACTGAGCCAAACCAGCCAGGGCAAAACTAACAAACAGTCTTTAAATCTCCTGTAGTCTGTATAACAAGTAAAAATGTATTTGTTTAGGAGTTTCAAGGCAATTTGATACTATCTATAAGCAGAGTGTGTGTGTGTGTTTGCAAAGTCTAAGCCGTATTACTGGTATCCACAACTCTCAAACACTTGTAGTAAAATATTTGTAGCATTTTGTTCTTTAAATCCTATTAAGGGATTTTTACTTTCCTGAAGATTTCAGATAGGAAACATGTCTCCCAGGGAAGATTATTCAGCACTATTTGAAAAGTGAAAGTGAGAGTAAGATAGGGAGATTTACGATTTTTTTGAGGCTGCAGACTGAATATAGAGTTTTCTTCCTTAGGCACTAATTGCTATCTGAATATTTATTTATCTATCTAATCTGAATAAGTCTGGTTCAGCTAGATAAAATTAGAGTATTGGGATTTTTTGAGGTGTTTTTAAATAGATTAGTGTTGCAATATTTGTTAGAATTTTTGCTTTGGCAATCCTTTTAATTTTCTCTTTGCTTTGGAAATAGAGATGGTTTACTTTTTAAGGTGATTTTTATTCTCAGTTTGTTTTTTCTTGAGATGGCTTCTTAATTTTAATTGTAGCACCAGTACTTTTCATATATGCTTTTTTATGTGTATAAATATAATTAACATTTGTATTTGTAGAGACATTTCAGGGCTTTGTGATCATGAGCCTAAAGATAATGGCCCTTGGCTCAGTTCCTCCAGTTTCTTTGATTGATTCTGTTCTTTGCATTTCAAATGTCGTTAAATGTTTTTAACTGTATTTTCAATTGTCAGCTTTCATATATAGTCTCCAACTGAAATTGATATTAATAAAATATGCTATTGGTTGTAGCATGGAGAGAGAAAGAGTAATTAATACAGTTGCCCAATGATTAGTCAAATTATTCAGTGTAGTAATTGATAAATGTTTATATATTGCTATATTATAGCAAATTTCTGATAAGGTAATTTCTAATACTGTGTTTTTCTTTGAGCAGATCATGACAAGATGTTTAAGATGAGTGAAAAAATCTTACTCCTATGTGTTGGAGAGGCTGGAGACACTGTACAGTTTGCAGAATATATCCAGAAAAATGTGCAACTTTATAAGATGCGAAATGGTGGGTAGTGCTTAGAATGTAGCTTTGGTTGGTTTGTTTTTAACTCTGAACTGAAAAAGAATATTCTCTACTGGCAGTTTTACACATTAGCAGACCAGTATGGTCATATTTTTATTTGAGTCTTCCTATTTTTGTAACCTTACTTAGACCCCTTCTACTGATTCTAAAGATTTTCTATAAAAACTCAGAAAAGAGAACCATTATAATTATTTTCTTATCTCTAAAATGGAATTGTAATATTAATAGTATGTATGAAAATGCTTTGTAAACTTAAAGCTCTGTGTAATTGTGGGAGATTTACTATGTCATAAAAGAGTTCTGCCTTGCCTCTCCAGTAGTTTCTTGTCTAGGAAGATAGTTAAGTTTTTTGTGAGATGTTTTGTGAGTTCTCTCTGGGGCTAACGAATTCTTATCCCCTGGGAAAGCCCCCCCATCAAATAATATTAGCCACTAGTTCTCTGATCCAGGAACATTTATAGTAATGCTTTAGCAGAAGGAACCTTATTTTCAATTACTTTAATAGTTTATTTTATTTTATTATTTTTTTATCTTCACCTGAGGACATTTTTTCATTTTTTGTTCAGATAGAGTGGGAGGGAGAGAGAAGAAAAGAGAGAGAGAGAGAGAGAGAGAGAGACATCGACATGAAAGGGACACATCAAATGGCTGCCACCCGCAGAGAGAGAGAGAGAGAGAGAGAGAGAGAGAGAGAGAGAGAGAGAGACATCGACATGAAAGGGACACATCAAATGGCTGCCACCCGCATGACCAACCAGGTCCGGGGACAAACTGCAACTGAGATACGCGCCCTTAGCGGGAACCAAACCTGGGACTGCAGGCCGAAGCTCTAACTGCTGAGCCAAACGGCCAGGACCAGTTACTTTAACAGTTTAATAACACTGTTATACACAGCACTGGTATAATGTGGAGCTGTGAAAGAACTTAATTTCAATATAATTGTATGAGTAGATATCCATTCATACAGTTTTTTTAGGCAGCCAATTTAGCATTATGCATTCAATTTATATATATATATATGTAAATCTTTACCCAATGATATTTTTCCATTGATATTTAGATAGGGAAGGGAGGGAAGGAGAGAGAGAAACACATCAGTTGGTTGCCTCCCAACTGGGTCTGGGGATTGAACCTGCAATCCAGGTACATGCCCTTGACTGGAAATCGAACCCGAGACCCTTCAGTGCACAGACTGACACTCTAACCACTGAGCACACGGGCCAGGGCTATGTTATACTTCTTAATAAAGTTTTTTTTTTTATAGAAGAAAGTCTTACAAGTATAACTCTGAGGCTCTTCTAACTGCTAGCCTCCCTTTTCCCAGTATCTTTTAAAAATAAACTAAAAAGCCCTGGTCGGGTTGCTCAGTGGTTAGAGCGTTGGCCTGCAGACCAAAGAGTCACTGTTCAGTTCTGGTCGGGGACACGAGCCATGGTCGAGGTTTAGTTCCTGGCCCTGGTCGGGGTGGCGTGGGAAGAGACCAGTTGATGTGTCTCTTTCACATTGATGTTTCTTTCTCTCTCCCTCTCTCTCTTTCACTCTTACTGATTTAAAAAAAAAAAAATCCTTGGGTGAGGATTAAAAAAATAAGCTGAAACATTGGCATCTTGCCCTGGCTGGTATGGCTCAACAGCTAGAGTGTGGGCCCTCAGACCAATGAGTCATGGGTTTGATTTCAATCAAGGGCATGTACCTCGGTTGCGGTTCATCCCCAGCCCTGGTTGGGGTCATGCGGGAGGCAGCCAGTTGATGTGTCTGTCTCACATCAATGTTTCTCTCTCTCCCTCTCACTCTATCTGAAGACAAAAAGAAAAATATCCTCGGGTGAGGATCTAAAAAATAAAAAAAATTGACATCTCAAGACCTCTTTTTAATTTTTTTTCAATACCTATGTATTTGTACTTTTTTTCTTCTACAGGGAAAACCGCAGTCTCTTGATGAATAACTAGTTTAAACAAGGCTGTTAATTTGATCTCACTATAGAATAGTTAAATCTCATCTTGGTTCTGTCTTTGTTTTGCTTTTTGTTTTTTTAGTTATTATTATTTTTTAATTACGTAATTTATTTATTTTTGTTATTGGTTCTGTCTTATGGCCAGGAATTACTGTCAGTACTAACCAGCTATTTCACAACTGTTAGATGGGGAAAGGGACAAGAAGTAAGATTGTACTCCTTGTTCTATGTACTTTATATACAGAAAAATCAAGGAGCTGATGTAAGGCAGAACAGTCAAGTAACTATGGTACCATTAGTGTAGCTAATATACAGAGTATCCCCCAAAAAATGTATACAGGTTATCTGTAGATTTTACTACATTTTGAAAATGAAATATATTTTATTTAATTTTTTTATCCTCACCCAAGGACACTTTTGCATTTATCTTCGGCTAGAGCGGGAGGGAGAGAGGGAGGAGGAGAGAGAGAAACATCTATGTGAGAGAGACACATCGACTGGTTGCCACTAGCACAACCCCAACTGGGGCCGGGGCCGAACCACAACCAAGGTATGTGCCCTTAGCAGGAACTGAACCCGGGACTCTCTGGTCCACAGGCCGACACTCTAACCGCTGAGCCAAACCGGCCAGGGCTGAAAATGAAATATATTTTAATAAACACTAGTTTTATAATTATTCAAAGTTGTGTATACATTTCTTTTGGGACACCCTGTACTCTTGAGTTTACAAAAGGTGGTAGACTGTAAGAATAGGAATAGTGGAATGATTTGAGGTACTGTTATTCCTTTTGCTTTATTTTAAATAGTACTGTTTATCTCTTGTATCAGGTTATGAATTGTCTCCCACCGCAGCAGCTAATTTCACACGCCGAAACCTGGCTGACTGTCTTCGGAGTCGGGTAAGCAACACAGCAGGAGCCTTGGATAAAAGCAGAAAAATCTTCTGTGCTTCTTTTATATTCCATTACACATGAGCGGTATTTTTGCCATTTTTTGGCCTTCCTGAGCCTTTTCCTTTGCTTCTTGTTCATTATTTAGTCTCTTTGGATTTGTTTTCTCTTTATGCATGGTTGCCAATTAAAGCCCAGAGGGCAAATATAGCCCAGAGAATTTGGATGGGACACACCAACATGAAGGCCTGTGATAGCCTTTTAAAATTATTTCAAAATGTGATTTATAGCAAACCATGTTTCTTTTTTTTTTTTTTTTATCCTCACCCGAGGACATTTTTCCATTTTTTGTACAGATAGAGTGGGAGGGAGAGAGAGAGAGAGAGAGAGAGGGAAACATCGATGTGAAAGGGACACATCGAGTGGCTGCCACCCGCACGACCAACCAGGGCCGGGGACAAACTGCAACCGAGGTACATGCCCTTAGCGGGAACCGAACCGGGTCTCTTCGGACCGCAGGCGGACGCTCTAACCGATGAGCCAAACCGGCCAGGGCGCAAACCATGTTTCTTAATTCCTGTGGTTGAAGATCCCCACATGTTAGTGGAGGTGAAATCTTGAAAATTTCATCTTGAGATTATCTATGTCTTTTTATTACTGTTCTTGCCAGAGCACATGGAATTGTTACTCCTCACTTATTCTGGCCTTGTTATTTTATAAACTGTCTTTGTTCCATCAATAGCATGTTAAAAGCTGCAACATTAAGTTAGGGATTGAGTGCATTACAGATTGTGCAGATGTGCCAAGAAAGTTCATATGATTGCTAAAGGTGTGCATTATTCCCTTCCCACAGGGACTAAGTAAATGGAGCCTTACCATGTGACCTTACCCCCTGTGCCTATTTACTCATCTATGAAATTGAGATAAACTTCCTAACCCCAAAGGAGTGCTAGGGAAACTAATGCTTGTAAATCATAATATTTAACATTCATATGACTTTTACCCAAAGCATTTTGCTTAATTAATCTACTCACTAGTCCACTGAGATAGAGTGGCTAATTCTCTATCACTGATATGGAATGAAAGGCATAAAGTGGCAAAGGGACTACCTCGAGGTTACATAGCACGGTAGGCAAAGCTGCACTAATGGTGCCATAATTACTTGACTGCTCTGTCTTACATTAGCTCCTTGGTTTTTCAGTAGTGTTTCTAGAACATCAGTGCTGTTCATGTTTTTTTACTATGATGTTACCATCAACTGCACTTGCTTAAGCTGAGTTATGACAGAAATCTAAACAAGTATAGTTGTGTTTTATTTTTTTAAAGTTATTACTGATCTTTAAAGCAGTTGATTTTCTAGTGCCTGATAATACTGGGTTGAGAACTTCTCAGTAAATAGAATCTCTTATTCTCAGTGCTAGCTTTGATCAAGGGGATTGTGCAATATGAAGGATTATGAAGTTTGAAGAGAAGCCAGAGACAGGGTGGATTGGGAAGAGGAGACAATTTTACATACTTTATTTTATCTGGGTAAAAGGTCATTGGCCTTTTCTTAATTCAGTCCTTCATGAGAGAGAAAAATAGGTCAGCTTTGACCTTTCTTACTACCCAGAAGTTTCTGTAGAATTCAGTAAAGAGTATGCTGTGGCTGTGTAAAATACTTCTCTGACTTGTCAGACAGTATTGGAGTAAGAATTCCAGCTTTGGGCACAATAAATATCTTTTCATAAATGCTGCACATTAAGTGAATTCAGCTCCTTTTAGAATTAGGATAAGAGTGGTGATATGCTTCATGTAGATAGAATGAATCCAGTTAATCGCCTAGCAAAAATGTTTGCTGTCTTAACAAATAAATATTCCGTATGGACAGTGACATGGGGCTCTAGTAAATATTGACTACTTCTGCCTTGTGTTTCTAGCTCCAATCCCTGCTTCCTCACTCTTTTATCAAAATAGGTTATGTGTTCTAAAATATGAATTTACATTTTAGTCATTTTATTCTGGGGAGTAAGGTGACAATAGTTTTTCAGTCTTCCTGATTAGTGCAAAGTCACTACATTTGGTACATTTACACTGTCACACCAGTTAGGACATGAGATTTATTTTGGGTTAGCATGGGTAACTGTTTCTAGAGCTGAAATGGTTAGATTTCCAGTTAGCTGTGTGTGTGTGTGTGTGTGTGTGTGTGTGTGTGTGTGTGTGTGGTATTTGGTTGGGAGGACATTTATTTATTGTAGAGAACATATTCCTGTGTAAACTGGTTCTTTTTTTGTTTTTAATGGGATTTTTTTAATTGATATTAGAGAGAGAAGGGAAGAGGGAGAAGGAGATAGAAACATCAATGAGAGAGAACATCGATTGGCTGCCTCCTGCATGCCCTCCACTGGGGACTGGGCCCACAACCTGGGCATGTACCCTGACTAGGAATTGAACCGGTGACCTCTTGGTACATGGGCCGATGCTCAATCACTGAGTCACACCAGCTGGGCTGTAAACTGGTTCTTTAAGATGAAGGCAGGTTAGTGTGGTGGTTAAGTACAGTCTCTGGAATTAGGCTGTCTGGGTTTAAATCTTTGCTCACTGACTCGCTAGCTGTGTTATTTGGACCAATAATTCTAAGCTTAATTTTCCTACTTATAAAATAATAGCACCTACATCATAGAATTATTATAAAGATTAAATGAGGTAATTATGCGAAGCTGTTAGCATAGCATATACAACTAATTAACAAATCACTTGTTTTTATGCTGCTATTGCTATTTGGGTGAAGAAGCAATTTAATAACTAAATATAAGTTAGCTTCCTATAGGAGATTCTTTGTTGTGCTTTTTTAGTTGAATTTGATCTGCTAGTAAAGAGGGGGGATATAAAAAATTACTGATATTGATAGGGGAAATAGAAATAAACCGACATTGATAATCTGTTATGTACTAGGCTTTGTTCTAGATTGACACAGTCTAGTATGGTAGCCACTAATCATATGTGGTTAAAGTTAAATAAAATTTATAATTTATAATTTAGTTCATGGGTGAGGGTCTCCTGGACTTTGAATGAGAAGTAAACTTTTGTTTCTGTAAAAAATTTTGTACCTGGTAGGTATGGCTTTAGTGGATTGAGTGTTGTCCCATGGCCTGAGAGGTCCTGGTTCGATTCCCAGACAGGGCATGTACCTGTGTTGTGGGCTGGATCACCAGCAGGGGGTGTGCAGGAGGCAGCCGATTGATGTTTTTCTCTCACTTGATGTTTCTATCTCTCTCTCTCAAAAAAAAAATCAATGAAAACATATATTTTTTAAAAGTTTGGTTTTTCTGTTACATTAGCCACTTTCAAGTGCTCAATAGCCACATGTGGCAAATGGCTACTATATTAGACATTGAAGATAGAGAACATTTTTATTGTCATTCTTTTGGACAGTGCTATTCTAGATAGTTGTATTTGTGATCTTATTTAATGCTTATTATGACACCGTAAAATGAGTGTTATTACCATTTTACTTACAAGGATACTAAGCCTGGATAATATAGAAGTTAAATATTTCTCTAATGTTTTCAAGTATACCAAAGGCACACACACAACCCATAAAAGGCCGAGATTCTAACTTCGAATACCACACTCTTTTTTATACTTCTGTATTAATTACTGAACTAGTGTACAAGTATATTTGTGCATTTGAGAAAGTATGAAATGTTTAGTTCTAAAATGCCAACCTTTCCACATAAGATTATGTTGGTAAGGTATACATATGTACCCATTATAGTTGTTCAATAAATTTGCTGAATAAATGCAATCCAGTTAGTTGGATGAGCATTGTCCTGTGCACCAAAGGGTCATCGGTTTGATTTCTGGGCAGGGCACATTCCTGTATTGTAAGCTCAATCCCCAGTAGGGAGCGTTCTAGTAGGCAGCCAATCAATGTTTCTCTCACATTGATGTTTCTCTCTCTACCTTCCTTTCTCTCTTAAAAAAAATCAATAAAACCAGAACAGGTCCAAATATACCACTGATAATATTATTGCACATTCATACACTGGAAGGGAATTTTATAAATGTGTTTTTAATGAATGGATATTACTTCTCCATGTAAGAATTAAATATCTGAGATCAGCAAGAAGAGATGAAAAAAACACAGATTGAGAGAGAAAAAATTAAAAGCCTCCAGTTTAGTTTTTTTGTGTGTGGTACATGCCCCTAGCGGGAACCGAACCCGGGACTCTCTGGTCCGCAGGCCAACACTCAACCGCTGAGCCAAACTGGCCAGGGCCAGTTTAGTTTTTATTTAAATGCTTGTGTACATTTTTGTTGGTCTGCTCCTGGTTAGACCCTAGAGAGCAGAAAAAAGGCTTATGAGGCTTTTGCTGTGGGTTTGACTCCCCAATTTAAAATATTTATGAGGCTTTTTTGAGCATGAGTTTTAGAGGCAAATATGCCAGAGTTCTAATCTCTTCTCTGATATGCACTATTTGTATGATCTTCAATAATTATGTTTGCTGAGCCTTACTTTTTGCAGCTGTTACTGTTAAGGAGGAAGGAGTGATCATATGTGGCAAATTATGAGAACTGAGAATTAACCATTGGTTTAATAAAATATATTTGGAATGAGTGAATGATACCTCCCTGGAAAATAGTACATATTTAGTAAGTGATTTCATCATTTAGGAAATGCTATTTGGATTTTTACAGGATTATTTTGAGAATTTTGTGATGACTTACAGGTATAGTTCACGAGGCTTATTTAAATTCTCCTTATGTTTTGATAATTGGGCTGTAAAAGGGAAGGTGATAAGCAACAGGGCTTATCTGCTATTATCTACTATGTTCTCTCTTTTACATATGTGGAGACAGAGATATCACCCAATAGAATCTGATATCCTTGGGGAATGTCAATAGGTATAATTTTGATTCATTCAGACAGGACAGCTATTGTGTTGGCTGTTACCATTTTTTTATTTGACAGTCTAGGGGAAAAGAGGTCAGTGCCTCTGACTAAATAGGCATTGCATGTTTTAAAA